TGTATGCCCAAGATCCTGAGAGGAGAATGGAGGAGAAGGGATTGCAGCATGGCCATCCCCCCAGGGGGGTGATTTCTCACTTTCTGTCTCTCTGTCTCTGTCTGGCAAGCACACGTGCCCTATAGCAAAAACCTCTCTGAAAAAAAATGCAAATGCTTTTTATACCTAGGTAGATTTCTGGGAGTGTTAGTAGTGGTAATAGAATGATGAAAATAGCTTCTATTTAATTCTTCCCTGGTTGGGCTACATCTTGAAATATGATTTCACTTATATGAATTTTTTTTCATTTTTAATTTTTTAGATTTTTGCCATAGGGCATGTACACTTGCTGAAGAGAGACAGAGAGGGAAAGTGAGAAATCACCCCCTAGTGCGGATGGCCATGCCATGATCCCTTTTCCTCCATTCTCCTCTCAGGATTTTGGGCACGCACATACACATGCCCAGCAGGATTTTCAAGATGCCAGGTCTGGGAACCAGCAGTTAGCATAATGGCTATGTTGCTGGACTCCCATGTAGTCGACCGTGGTTCGAGTCTCAAACCTGGTGACTTAAACTCACGCCGGTCACATGTGCGTGTGTGCCCAAGATCTCGAGAGGAGAATGGAGGAGAAGGGATTGTGGCGTGACCATCCCCTCTGGGGGGTGATTTCTCACTTTCTATCTCTCTGTCTCTCTGTCCTTCTGGCGAGCACACGCGCCCTATAGCAAAAACCTCTCCCCACCCCCCAAAAAAAGATGCCAGGTCTGGGACTTAAACCACAGTTGAGCATACTGGAGTCCAGCACCTCAGCCACTATGTCAAACACAGACTCTCTTACCAGGAAGAAGTGTATACTTACAGGATTAATGTCCACAAATGACTCATGCTCTTCCTTGTTTGGATGCATACCAACTATGGCAGAAACAAAGCTCTCATCTGCTTGGTAAAAGTGCGGGAAAGACATAACGATGGGTGCACCTGCATTTGAAGGAAAACAGAAATGAATGATGCCGCCCCTAAAATCTACGATGAACATGAGGTTCTTGGCCACAAATCTAGCTCCTTCAGGGGAAAAAAAAAAAAAAGCTATTGATAAGTAAACTTGGGGAAGAGAGTAGGGTCCTAGTTCAGGATTTACATAATACTTCGTTTTCTGGCATCTCAGTTATCTCCACATTATTTTATTCCACGTTATAGATTGAAGTCCTGGCTAAATGATTTATTCTGAAACAAACATTTACTTAACTTATAAAGTATATGTACATTATCTACATTTTCTTTTTTCTTTTTCTTTTCCTTTTCCTATAGGGCACGTGCTCTTAGTCAAGAGAGACAAGGTGGGGGTGGAGTGGGGTGGGGTGGTGAGAAATCACCTCCCAGGGAGATGGCCACTCCACAATCCCTTCTCCTCCACTCTCTTCTTAGGACTTAGGGCACACAGGCACCCACAAATCTAAGACTCGAACCACAGTAGGCCATGCAGGATTCTGCGAACTTAACCATCACGCCAGCTGGCTGGCTCTACGCTTTCTTTAATGCTCCTGGTAGCCTTATGAAGTTAGCACAAGTCTCCTCATTTTGCATTTGAAGAACGAGGTTCACATAAATTACAAAATGTATGCAGGGTTATCTAGCAATCAGGTTGTGGTCACAGAATTCCAACTGAATGAGAAATGTTGCACGTTAAAACACTCTATCCAACCACAACTCTCTCTTTCCAACCACAACTCTTGCAGTAAATTAACTGTCTTTTTTTTCTTTTTGCTTGTTTCTGTCTTTATTTATTTTATTGTTTTATCTGAGATGGATCTTGTACTCTTCCATAATGTTGATGTAAAATTTTTGAAGACGTATCCTGGTTGTGCTAAACACCCAGCCTGTAACCAAAAGGTCTGCCCACAGGAAGATTCCGTTCCAGGTCAGGGTGCCATGTTCCCTTGCACAGTGGTCCTCAAATACCTAGACGCCACCTTCATGGAAACCACTGAGAACACTTGTTAAGAGTACAGATCCTAGGGCCCTCCTATGTCCAGCATGGGGTCCTGGGACATAGATTTTTCTACTCTCCAGATCATTCTGATGTCAGGCCAGGACTGGAGGCCGCTACTCTGTCAGGGAAGGACTGGAGATGTACTACTGACCTTAGTCTTGCCCTGAAAGGAGATTTTTAAACCAAGTAGAAAAGAGAGCAAAAGGAGAAAAAGCACCTTTATTCAGGAGAAAGGGACTACAGAGAGGAGCAACTTTCCAGAGAAACTTTAAAAGGAATTACAGCCTAAGAAGAGAATCGCAGTATGAATAGGAGGAGACTTAAGTTCTAACAGCGATTTGCTCAGAGATTGTTTTTTTCTGATTGCCAGAGACAGAGAGAGAGATAGGGAGAGAAGCACCACCCAATGGAATGTAATCACATTGCAATTTCTTTTTTTTTAATAATAATTTATTTAATTTTATTTATTCATTAATTTATTTTAATTTGACCAGAGAAAGATAGACACACAGAGAAGGAAAGTGAGAAAGCAAGCCATCACGTCCGGGACACGAACCGTGGTTGGCCATGTGGGAATGTCCAGCACCTTAACCACCGTGCCACCTGCTGGCCCCCACACTGCAATTTCTTTGTTTCTCCATTCTGTTGGGATTTGGGGCATGCACACAAATGCACTTCTCCATTCTTGTTGGGATTTGGGGCATGCACACATATGTTTCTGCATGTTTTTTAAGCTGCTGGGCTGGGATTTGAACCATGTCGTGCCATGTGGGATCTGGCTCTCTTGATTAGTAGGCTATGGGGCCAGCCCAGAGAAAAAGCTTTTATGAATACCATGTCCTCTCTGAGCCATGGTTTCCACAATTATTTAAAAAAAGGCCAGTGAATGTCTATCTATTGAAAACATCATTAAAAAATCTGTAACACATAACTATTAAAACTGGTTTTCGGGGCCAGCAGGTAGCATGGTAGTTAAAGCACTGGACTCCCACATGGCCAACTATGAATAGAGTCCCGGACCCAGAGGCTTAATAATCCCACCTGTGTGTGTGGTGTGTCCCACCTATCCTGAGAGGAGAATGGAGGAGAAGGAATTGCAGCATGGCCATCCTCCCTTGGGGGTGATTTCTCACTTTCCCTCTTACTGTCTCTGTCTCTCTCCAGCAAGCGCACTCTCCCTAATGAAAAGACCTCTACAAAAATAACTCGTATTCAAGGGTCCAGTCATGGTGGCACTGGCAGGAGAATGCCCATGTCCTGACTGGCAGGGAAGCTGGAAGAACCATGGTGTGAAAACACCCTGTGACTATCTCTCCCTCCACCTCTCTCCCTAATTTCTTCTCTCTCATTAAAAAAATAAATACAAATTTTAAAAACTTTAAAAAGGATCTAGTCTCAAGAGGAAGAAAATACTTTTGTCTGTTGTACCACTGATAATTCTGCCTTGTTCATGGAAAGAAGCAGGACAGCTCTGATGTTAAGAAACACTGGCTTGGAGACCAGCAGATAGCATAATGGTTATGGTGCTGGACTTCCATGTGGCTGACTATGGTTCGAGTCCCAGACCTGGAAGCTTGAAACTCACACTGGGTACGTGTGCATGCATGCCCAAAATTCCAAGAGGAGAATGGAGGAGAAGAGATTGCAGCATGATCAACCTCCTGGGGGGAATGTCTCACTTTCTGTCTCTCTGTCTCTCCAGAGAGCACAGACTCTATAGCAAAAATCTCTCTCTAAAAAAAAAAAAAGAGGGCTGGCAGGTGGTGTGGTGGTTAAAGGCTCTGGATTTCTGGATTCCCACATGGCCGACTGCAGTTTGAGTCCCGGCCCTGCCCTCCTGGTGTCTTGCTTTCTCGCTCTCCCTTTCTCTCTCTCTCTGTTTCTCTCTCTCTCCGTTTCTCTCTCTCTGTCTCTGGTCAAAATAAAAAATAGTAATAACAAATGGAATTAAATAAATTATTCTCTTAAAAAGAAAAGAAAGAAAAAGAAAGAAGCACTGGCCTGGTGGTTAAGGAAGTCAGGTCCCACATGGCCAACTTTATTTCAGTCCAGGCCCTGGTGGCTTGAAAAACATAACAGGCACACATGCACACATGTCCAAAATCCCTCTAGGATGGAGAAATAGACAATAAGGGATTGCGGCATGACCATGCCCCATTAGAGTGGTGCCTTCATCCTCTCTCTTTCTCTGGCAAACCAAAGTGCCCTCTGGCATTAAAAAAATTAAGAAAGAAAAAAAAAGAAACATTGAGAAATTTGCAATTGGAGTTTAAAATCGTGCTTCAAAATAACTGAGATTATGTTTTTTAAAGAATGATTTATTTAATTTTATTTATTAATTCACTTTTATAATTAACTAACTTTTTAATTCACTAGAGAAAAGCAGAGAGAGGGAAAGTGAGAAAGCAAGTCGCCAGGTCTAGGACTCGAACCACAGTTGGCCATGTGGCAGTCCAGTGTCTTAACCACCATACTACCTGCTGGCCCCATCACTGAGAATCTTTGCCAAGATACCTACTTTCTCAAAACCAAGTTGTCTATTTTCTCTTTTAGCATTGCTTTGAACATGAAATCAGTTAATGATCACACATGTCTCAACTATAAATATGTAAAGCACTTAAGAGAAGTAGCAAGCACATAGTAAGTGCTCAGTAAACATGAACTGTTATTACTACAAGGACTTCTAAGCTACTGCCCAGAAAAAAATGCCATAGGGCACTACAGAAAAGCAAAACATCACAGAAAACCCAATGATTTTCCTACTATTCAGTGACCATGTTATGAGACACTATTCTTGAAGCATCAGAATCATACTTTTTACTAGGCAGACAACATATTCATTTTTGGTCATCAGTCTTACATTTTAGACACCCATCGCCATGTCTCCTTTCTGAGATCTTACCATTCTTACAGATGCTGACATTTAAAACTCCTGAGCCCAAGCAGTTTCCTTCCGGTAGACAGAAGCCAGCATTTTCTGAGGTATTGGCTAATATTTCTGCAGGCACCTTATACCGAAAGGCAGGCAGACCCTGCACACTCTCGAAGTCACTGAAAGTTAGATGCACTGACCTGTTGGGATATAAGAATACAAAGTCAGCATAGACTGCCTGAAATGAGGAAGTTAGAAACAGCTCTTGGGTACTACACAGCTAAAAGCCTACAGGGGTAAGGGGAAACAAAGATGGCAAAGAACACATGAAAGAAGGCCCAGCCTGGTGGTGCAACTGGTAGGGAGCTGAACTATGGTGCAGGAAGCCGCACGGTCAACTGCAGGTTCAGAACCCCAGCCAGGTTCACCTAAAACATGCCGGAAGTGTGCACACAACCCACGGTCCTAATAAGCTGGAAGGCTGGAGGGAGGGGACTTTCCAGGGTGCTTTTCTCTCTTTCTTGCATGCACATACCCTCTGTCATGACTAAAATAAATAATGCTTAAAAATAAATGCTTTGAGCCCTGTCGACTCAATGTGCAATAAAGTAGAAGATGAACTGTAATGAAAGATGTTTGCAACGTAGTAACTACGGTGACATCCAAGCAAGGTCAAGAGAAAGACAACATGTGGTAGAAAGTGAAGAAGATAACATTGATAATGGAGACACACCAAAAAAATAAAAAGAAATGCAAGAGTCTGAAAACACTCAGTGTAGATGGGCCAGAGACGAAGGGAAGGAAAGCAAGGGTAAGGCAGAGGCAAAGCAGTGCTGGGAAAGGCACCAAAAGGCTTGACCTGGCCAAGACTTAACTTGAAAAGTGCCACACTGGGGCCAGCAGGTGGCACGGTGGTTAAGGTGCTGGACTCCCATGTGCCTGATCACGGTTCAAGTCCCGGATCTGGCGGCTTGCTTTCTCACTTTCTCTCTCTAGTGAGTACACATGCCCTACAGTAAATTAAATAATAATGATGTAACTAATAATAATAAAATTAAATTAAATAACTTGTTAAAAAGAAAAGTGCCCAGCTGGACATGTATTTAATCAGAACATATACTTTGATACCCATTTCCCCAAATAAAAACGATTCGTTTCCATATTTTGCCCTAGTCATTTATTTCAACAGAGTTCACCACGTTTCTGCCCTCAGTTCTTACTGAGTTTCAAACATGGTCCTGAATAATCCTAACAGCCCTATCTGCCCGGCACCTAACAGACCAAGCACGTGCACACACACCAGCACGGATCCTTCTGCCCTGCATTTGATGGCTGAGAGAAACCCCTTCCTGGGCCTCACTTTTTTGTCTTTGAACATCTCCTGCAGGGATGTGAGTAGCAAAGAAGTGGTCTTCCGCTGCACCTCTCACCCCTGCAGTATTTTTAAAATGGAGTATTTTAAGTAAACAGAAAAACAGAGAAAATGGTATAACAAATACTTTGTATTCACCACTCAAATAAATAAAAAATATAGATACCACTGAAGCTCTCTAGATAAGGCTCCTGGTTCCGTTCCTTCTCTGCCTTGGGTGAGAAACCACCACCCTGAACTGGGGTCACTCCCGTGGAGACATTTATACTTTTACGTGTGTGTGCATTCATCAACAACACGTGACATAGTTGGCTGATTTAAGTGTTATATGACTAGGGTAGCATATTCCTTTTTGGTGATTTGCTTCTTCCGTCAACATTGTTTTTTTTTGTTTGTTTGTTTGTTTTTTGTTTTTTAAAGAGAGACTTTTGCTGTTGGGCAGGTGTGTTTGCCAGAGAGACAGAGAAAGAAAAAGCAACAAATCACCCCTGGGGGGGTGGCCACACTGCAATCCCCTCTCCATTCTCCTCCTGGGATTTTGGGCACACACACATAAGTGCGCAGCATGAGTTTGAACCTACCGGGTTTGGGACCTGAACCGCCGCCGGTCACATGGGAGTCCAGCGCCTTAACCACTATGCCATCTGGTGGCTCTCAGCATTTTTTTTTTCAAGAATTATTTCATTTGGGACCAGCAGTTAGTGTAATGGCTATGTCGCTGGACTCCCACGTAGTAGATCGCGGTTCGTGTCCTGGACCAGGTGACTTAAAACTCATGCCAGGCGCGTGAGCGTGTGTGCCCAAGATCCCGAGGGGAGAATGGAGGAGAAGGGATTGCAGCGTGGCCATCCCCCCTGGGGGGTGATATCTCGCTTTCTGTCTCTCTCTGTCTGTCTGGCAAGCGCACGTGCCCTATAGCGAAAACCTCTCCAAAAAAAAAAAAAAGAATTATTTCATTTAACTTATTTATTTATTTATTTAAATTTGACCAGAGAGGGACAGAGTGAGAGAGAAAGAGAAAGTGAGAAAGCAAGCCGCCAGGTCTGGGACTCAAACCATAGTTGGCCATGTGGGAGTCCAGTGCCCTTAACCACCATGCCACCTGTTGGCTCCACAAAACAGCATATTGAAGAGTGTACACTAATATATATGGTTTTAGTCCTTTTACTTATTTATTTAAATTTTGCCACAAGGCACATACACTTGGCTGAGAGAGACAAAGAGAGACAAAAAGAGAAAGCACTTCCCAGGGCGACTGGTCAAGCTGCAGTACCTTCTCCTCCAGCTCTCCCTCCTTTCAGGATTTTGCGCATGCACGCACACGCTCCCAGCGAGTTTTTCAAGTCAGCAGATCCTGGACTCAAACTGTGTAGTCATCCATGTGGATTCAGCCTCCTTAACCACCAGTTGGACTTGTTCATTTTTGTTTTCATTATTGTCTTTTTTACATGTACTTACTTATTTCTCCCATGAAAGAGAGACAGACAGAGACAGCCAGCCATCCCCTACAGAGTCTTCATGCTCTAATTCACCCTGTCTCAGCACGCTCAAATCACAGGCATGCATGAGTGTCCCTCTCCTGGGGAGGTCCTGGGATGTGAACCCAGACCCTTTGTCCCATGTGGGTCCAGTTGTGTTACCACTGCCCCAGCGCCTGGCCCATGGTTCTTTTATTTTAAACTCCATATGATATCCCACCAATGAATAGACCATAATTTATTTCTGTTCTCCTTTATGTAGGTGTTTGAGCTGCTTTCCGTTTTCATTATGCCAAACGACGTTGCCATGGACATTCTTATATGTCTCCTAGTGTGTCTGCACAGGCCAGGAACCTACCCAAGAGAGAACTGCGGAATCTGAAATCACAGAGTTTGCACGTCTTCGGTTTTACTAAAGGCCGCCAAATGGCTCTCCTAAGTAGTTACCGAAGACGAGTATGTGCTAAATCTCTGAAAACTTCCCACGGCTCCTCAGGGTCCCCTTGTTTCACTCACTGGCCTCATATACATGCCTTCTCTCCCTTCAGTCCTCCCACCGACGTTTGTGGAGGGTGGTCAGCGCTTAGGTGACTGGGATGTTTCCCAGGACTGATGGAAAGGGTCTAAACCACAGCACACACACGGGGATGGAGAGGTGGGGACGAATTCAAGCACTGTTACTGAGAAGGGATCGATAGTACTTGCTGACTGAATACATGCTAGAAAGGAGGGACATTCCCAGTGTTGCCAGTGTCAGGGATGGCTGGCCGAGCAGGAGGTACAGTTGTGTCAGATAGGAAACATCGGAACCACAGCAGTTTGGAGACTAAGGAGTCGGCAGCGTTGGAGGCTGTGAGGTCACTCCCACCTGCAAGGCCGTGTCTCACAGCAGCTGTGGGAGGGAGCTGGCGAGGAGAGGGCGGCCGTCTGAGTCTGCCACTCGTTCAAACAGTGCTAGGTGGGAGAAGGAGCAGTGGCATCATGGGAGGGGGAAGGCAGGGTGGAGGAAGGGTGCCCTCCTCATGTACTTAGCCACGTTTGCTTGTAGAGATGAACAGGACAGTAGAGAGGGAGCGATCCCATGGCAAAGTGAAAGCAGGTGACATCAACAGGAAGTTACTCTGAGCAAAGACCTTTGTACTCCGAGATACAGATGCCAAACAGTATCATTTATTTATTATTATTATTATTATTAATATTATTTTGGAGAGGTTTTTGCTACAGGGCACGTGTGCTTGCCAGAAAGACAGAGAGAGACAGAGAGACAGAAACCGAGAAATCACCCCCAAGAGGGGATGGCCATGCCATAATCCCTTCTCTATTCTCCTCTTGGGATCTTGGGCATGCATGTACATGCGCCCGGTGTGAGTTCAAGCTGCCAGGTCTGGGACTCGAATCACGGTCGACCACATGGGAGTCCAGCAACATAGCCATTACGCCAACTGCTGGTCCCACTTTATTTATTTTTTTTAAGAGAGATTTTTGGTATAGGTCACATGTGCTTGCTGGAGAGACAGAGACAGAAAGTGAGAAATCACCCCCTAGAGGATGGCTACACTTCAATTCCTTCTCCACCATTCCCCCTCAGGATTTTGGGCATGCACGCACATGTGCAACAGTGTGAGTTGTAAATCGCTGGGTCTGGGACTTGAACCGTGTTCAACTATATGGGGTCCATTACACCATCTGCTGGACCCCATTTATTTACTTTCTCTGTAGAGATTCCCTGCTCACTAGAAGGTCAGATCAAATTTCATGCTTGATAGAACATACCCTATGATAAGGAAGAGCCAGCACTTAGTATGTTTACTCTGCCACAGGCCCTAGGCTAAGCACTTCACTCACAGCAACCCATCTGTCCACTTAACGACGCCTGAGGTAAGTCACTATTTCTATCCTTATTTTACTAATGAAGAAAGTGCGGCACAAAGTGGTAATGTAACTTGTCCATGGTCACGCAGTAACAAATGACGGAGCCAAGATTCAAACCTATGCAGTCAGGCTCTGGAGCCCACATTATGAATCACCACACTATACAGTCTCTTGATATGTCATCAGCATTTATCATGGATCAAGCATAAATATCTGTGTAATCACAGGTGTATCTACACACATTCCTCATGGTCTCACAGCCAAACACTTCATATATGTATGTATGTATTTATTTATTTATTGGAGAGGTTTTTGCTATAGGGCGCGTGCGCTCGCCAGACAGACAGAGAGAGACAGAGAGACAGAAAGCGAGAAATCACCCCCCAGGGGGGATGGCCACGCCGCAATCCCTTCTCCTCCATTCTCCTCTCGGGATCTTGGGCAAGCACGCACACGCGCCCAGCATGAGTTTGAAGCCACCGGGTCCAGGACGCGAACCGCGGTCAACTATGTGGGAGTCCAGCCACATAGCCATTACGCTAACTGCTGGTTCCCTATATGTATGTATTTTTAAAATCACTTAGTTTTAATGTTCTTACCTGCAGAAATCAGATGGGAAGACGTATAGGACTTCGTCTTTGGTTATTAGTGGGTGGAAGGAATCTCCATCGGTTCCATTAATCATATTGCACCTGTCTGTGGCCCACCAGTCAAGTGACCTATAAGTGATAAGCACAAGAAAGTTTACAAATAATCAAAAATAATTTTAGGTTTTCTTAAATGCTCAGGGCTTTCCAAGATGTGACTGGAAGTTGCCTTCCCACAGTATCTTACTCATACACACGGGTAAGAGTGTTGTGGATTAGACAAGAGGGAGGCCTAGTCATGGTGGTGCACACTACTAAGATGCTATGTTCCACAGGCTGGGATCACAGGGGAGATCCAGGTTCAATCCCCAATCCAACCTTAAGGCTGGGCACAGCAACACCTGTGACCCCAGCAACTTGGGGGCGCTGAAGCAGGAAGATCGTGAACTGGAGGCTGGCTGAACAATTCAGTGAGAGACCCTGTCTGAAAGAGCTGGGTGTAGGAGAGATGCCTGTGGCCCCAGCTCAGGAGGTGGAGGCAGTAGGATAGAAACAGTGAGGCCCGCCTATGCATTTAATAAAAAAGTGAAAACGTAGACTTTTGACCTCAAAATCAGTTTTGATAGAGACAATAGCTAAAACTTCCTCTTTCTTTCCTCCAAAATGTATATCCTACATAGGATTTCAGAAATACAAATTTATGTATAGAAGTGGGGTTTTAAAGGTTTTTTGCCATAGGATGTATGTGATCACCAGAGAGAGACAGAGTAAGACAGAGAAAAGGTAAGAAATCATGCCCCTGAGGAGATGGCCATTCTCCTCCATTCTTCTCCTGGGATTTTGTCCACACACACACAGAGCATGATTTTCAAGCTGTCAGGTCTGGGATTTGAACCATAGTTAGCCATTAGGGAGTGCAGTGCCATAGCCACCACACCACACCACCTGCTGGCTCTAACAGTGATTCGATTTAACACTAATAATAGCCTTGTTCATAGCCAGTCCTCAGACAGACAAACTCTGCATAGACATTTCCAGGCCTTAATATTCATGACAGACCATTAATTAGCTGAGTCTACTCTGTGAACAGTCCCCTCTTTCAAAAATAACCAAGGACTTCTCTTGGGTCACAAGGAAGCTTGGTACTAAACTGACATCATGCTAAGAGCACAGTTGAGATAGCAGGTTTAATAACGCTACATGCAGTAGGCTAAACACTTACGGGGTTCCCCTCAACCAATTTCATATGTTGAAATCCTACCCACAAAGTGCTGGTATCAGGAGGTGGGAATTTTGCGAGGTGATCAGGTCACAAGGGCAGAGCTTTCATGAATGGAATTGGTGCCATTATAAAAGAGGCCCCAGGCTCCCCCGCCCTTCTGCCATGTGAGTATAATACACAAGGAAGTGGGCCTCACTAGACCCTGAATCTGCTGGAGCCTTGATATTGGAGTTCCTAGGCATAAGAACCGTAAGAAATAAATTTATGTTTTTCATAAGCCACTCAGTCTATGGTAATTCGTTACAGCAGCTTGAATGGACTGAGGGGAAAATGCAAAAGATAAGCAAGGGCAGGCAATATGTAGAAATTCTCCCAACTTCTGGTCCAGGTGGCACTTTCCATTCTGGCCTCTTCCAAGTGAAAACTCAGAGTAGTGGTCGATAAAACACAGAGACCATCTAGTAGGGCCATTACTGTACTCAGAAATGAAAATCTCCCCAGGAAAAATGCAAAGTGGGAAGTAGCGCTGACGCCACCTCCCCACAGGTTGCAGCCCTTGAAGCAGAAGAAGGAACTGGAGTTCAGCTCATGAGGTTAACAGAGATTAGAAAGGGTCCACCAAAGGCCTGAAATACGGCCCAAGGTGCAGAGATTCCCTGCTCATCAAAAGAAGCCAAAGAGAGCAGCTTCTACCTGCTGTCTGGACTTAAGTGTGTACAAAGCTGAGGGGCCAAGGCAGCAGAAAGACCCAATACACCTGAGTGACCCAAGCCCATCTGCCTGCTGACGCCCCACGTAACTGTGGGGTAGGAGGCCCAACCGCATGTACTGGGTCTGGGCTAGGGAACCCCTGAGTGCACTGTGTGCAGGCAACTGCACAATGGCTACATTGGGAAAGGCGAGATGATAGATAGATAGACACACAGATAGGTAACAGACTAACTTCCCAACAAAAATAATTCTGCAAATTAACATTTCTTTTAAAACTTGAAGAACCCTTGGGCCAGCAGGTGGCATAATGGCTGGGGTGCTGGACTTCTGCATGGTCTACCGTCTTTTGAATCCTGCACCCAGTGGCTTGAAAATCACACTGGATGCCTGTACATGCACGACCACCCCAAATTCCAGGAGAATGGAGGGGATGGGGTTGTGCCATGGCCATACCCCCTTGGGGAGGGTGATATTTCACTTTCCCTCTCACTGTCTCTGTCTCTCTCCAGTGAGTGCAAACACCTTAAAAAAGAAAAAAAAAGGACCTTTATATGAGCGACAGGCACAAAAATCAACAGAAAATAAATGTACTTAAGAAGAAATTAAATTTTAGAACCACCTGGGGACTCCTTGAAATAAATACGTTGTTTAATATCCTCAAAGAGACAAATGAAAAGATAGTACCCTTTTAAAATAATAGGAAATTATTATTAAAATGTTTAAAAATAATGCAACAAGCGTAGGGAGATATAAAAATGAAAATATAAAACTCCTGGTAATAAACAATAGTTTCTGGGGGCCAGCAAATGGCGTAATGATTATGTCGCTGGATTCCCACGTAGCCGACCTGTTTGAATACTGGACCTGGTGGCACGTGTGCCCCAAATCCTGAGAGCAGAATGGAGGAGAAGGGATGGCACCCTGGAGGGGGTGATTTCTCGCTTTCCGTCTCTCTGTCTCCAGGCTGGGATCACAGGGGAGATCCAGGTTCAATCCCCAATCCAACCTTAAGGCTGGGCACAGCAACACCTGTGACCCCAGCAACTTGGGGGCGCTGAAGCAGGAAGATCGTGAACTGGAGGCTGGCTGAACAATTCAGTGAGAGACCCTGTCTGAAAGAGCTGGGTGTAGGAGAGATGCCTGTGGCCCCAGCTCAGGAGGTGGAGGCAGTAGGATAGAAACAGTGAGGCCCGCCTATGCATTTAATAAAAAAGTGAAAACGTAGACTTTTGACCTCAAAATCAGTTTTGATAGAGACAATAGCTAAAACTTCCTCTTTCTTTCCTCCAAAATGTATATCCTACATAGGATTTCAGAAATACAAATTTATGTATAGAAGTGGGGTTTTAAAGGTTTTTTGCCATAGGATGTATGTGATCACCAGAGAGAGACAGAGTAAGACAGAGAAAAGGTAAGAAATCATGCCCCTGAGGAGATGGCCATTCTCCTCCATTCTTCTCCTGGGATTTTGTCCACACACACACAGAGCATGATTTTCAAGCTGTCAGGTCTGGGATTTGAACCATAGTTAGCCATTAGGGAGTGCAGTGCCATAGCCACCACACCACACCACCTGCTGGCTCTAACAGTGATTCGATTTAACACTAATAATAGCCTTGTTCATAGCCAGTCCTCAGACAGACAAACTCTGCATAGACATTTCCAGGCCTTAATATTCATGACAGACCATTAATTAGCTGAGTCTACTCTGTGAACAGTCCCCTCTTTCAAAAATAACCAAGGACTTCTCTTGGGTCACAAGGAAGCTTGGTACTAAACTGACATCATGCTAAGAGCACAGTTGAGATAGCAGGTTTAATAACGCTACATGCAGTAGGCTAAACACTTACGGGGTTCCCCTCAACCAATTTCATATGTTGAAATCCTACCCACAAAGTGCTGGTATCAGGAGGTGGGAATTTTGCGAGGTGATCAGGTCACAAGGGCAGAGCTTTCATGAATGGAATTGGTGCCATTATAAAAGAGGCCCCAGGCTCCCCCGCCCTTCTGCCATGTGAGTATAATACACAAGGAAGTGGGCCTCACTAGACCCTGAATCTGCTGGAGCCTTGATATTGGAGTTCCTAGGCATAAGAACCGTAAGAAATAAATTTATGTTTTTCATAAGCCACTCAGTCTATGGTAATTCGTTACAGCAGCTTGAATGGACTGAGGGGAAAATGCAAAAGATAAGCAAGGGCAGGCAATATGTAGAAATTCTCCCAACTTCTGGTCCAGGTGGCACTTTCCATTCTGGCCTCTTCCAAGTGAAAACTCAGAGTAGTGGTCGATAAAACACAGAGACCATCTAGTAGGGCCATTACTGTACTCAGAAATGAAAATCTCCCCAGGAAAAATGCAAAGTGGGAAGTAGCGCTGACGCCATCTCCCCACAGGTTGCAGCCCTTGAAGCAGAAGAAGGAACTGGAGTTCAGCTCATGAGGTTAACAGAGATTAGAAAGGGTCCACCAAAGGCCTGAAATACGGCCCAAGGTGCAGAGATTCCCTGCTCATCAAAAGAAGCCAAAGAGAGCAGCTTCTACCTGCTGTCTGGACTTAAGTGTGTACAAAGCTGAGGGGCCAAGGCAGCAGAAAGACCCAATACACCTGAGTGACCCAAGCCCATCTGCCTGCTGACGCCCCACGTAACTGTGGGGTAGGAGGCCCAACCGCATGTACTGGGTCTGGGCTAGGGAACCCCTGAGTGCACTGTGTGCAGGCAACTGCACAATGGCTACATTGGGAAAGGCGAGATGATAGATAGATAGACACACAGATAGGTAACAGACTAACTTCCCAACAAAAATAATTCTGCAAATTAACATTTCTTTTAAAACTTGAAGAACCCTTGGGCCAGCAGGTGGCATAATGGCTGGGGTGCTGGACTTCTGCATGGTCTACCGTCTTTTGAATCCTGCACCCAGTGGCTTGAAAATCACACTGGATGCCTGTACATGCACGACCACCCCAAATTCCAGGAGAATGGAGGGGATGGGGTTGTGCCATGGCCATACCCCCTTGGGGAGGGTGATATTTCACTTTCCCTCTCACTGTCTCTGTCTCTCTCCAGTGAGTGCAAACACCTTAAAAAAGAAAAAAAAAGGACCTTTATATGAGCGACAGGCACAAAAATCAACAGAAAATAAATGTACTTAAGAAGAAATTAAATTTTAGAACCACCTGGGGACTCCTTGAAATAAATACGTTGTTTAATATCCTCAAAGAGACAAATGAAAAGATAGTACCCTTTTAAAATAATAGGAAATTATTATTAAAATGTTTAAAAATAATGCAACAAGCGTAGGGAGATATAAAAATGAAAATATAAAACTCCTGGTAATAAACAATAGTTTCTGGGGGCCAGCAAATGGCGTAATGATTATGTCGCTGGATTCCCACGTAGCCGACCTGTTTGAATACTGGACCTGGTGGCATGTGTGCCCCAAATCCTGAGAGCAGAATGGAGGAGAAGGGATTGCACCCTGGAGGGGGTGATTTCTCGCTTTCCGTCTCTCTGTCTCTGCCAAGTGCACATGTCCTATACCAAAAAAAAAGACGAAAAAATACAACTCTCAAAGAAATGTTCTGAAAAACAATCATTATAGAAACACAACTCAAGACTACACAGTGTAAGAGAGAATTCATGAACCACAAGATTGTCCTAAAAAACTTACACAAATATAAATTCAGAAAAATTAAAATTTAATGGCTCAAGATACAGAGAATATGCTGGAAGGCTCTAATAATTAAGGGGAGTTCAGGGGCTGTGGGGTGTGGAGGAGCAACACTGGGCATGAGAATAGAATAAAAGAAGCGGTAACTGAAGAGATCATAGCTCCAAGTTTTCCAAGTTTTCAATCCAGAACATAAGCCTGGACTTATGTAAGCCTCAAGGGCCAGAGAGAATAAATAAAATAATTCTGCATCTGGATAACTATAGTAAAACTGCAGAGGAAAAAGGAAAAAGGCAGATGGCAAAAATCAATGGAGTGGGGTCAGCAGGTGGCGTGTCAGTTAAGGCCATTTTTTTTCTTTTTCTTTTTTTTAAGAGAAATTGTTGCTATAGGGTATGTGCGCTTGCAAAAAACAGACAGACAGAGACAGACAGACTGGAAGCGAGAAGTCACCCCCACTGAGGGGATGACCAATCCTTTCTCCTCCATTCTCCTCTCAGGATCTTGGGCACACATGCACATGTACCCAGCGTGAGTTTTAAGCCACCAGGTGTGGGACCCAAACCATGGTTGGCTACATGGGAGTCCAGTCTATATAATCATTACACCATCTGCGGGTCCAAGGCACTGATTTCTGTATGGTCAACCATTGTTCAAATCCCAGGCCTGGTGGTTTTAAAATCATACCAGACACATGTGCATGTGTGCTCAAAAATCCCAGGAGAATGGGGAACCAGCAGTTAGCGTAATGGCTATGTTGCTGGACTCCCACGTAGTTGGCCGTGGTTCCCATCCCGGACTCAGTGGCTTAAAACTCATGCCGGGCGCGTGTGCGTGTGTGCTCAAGATCCCGAGAGGAGAATGGAGGAGAAGGGATTGCGGCGTGACCATCCCCCCTGGGGGGTGATTTCTCGCTTTCTGTCTCTATGTCTCTCTCTGTCTGTCTGGCGAGTGCACGCGCCCTACAGTGAAAATCTCTCCAAAAAAAAAAAAAAAATCTCAGGAGAATGGAGAAGAGATTTCAGTATGGCCATCCCTCTTGGGGGGAGGGAGGTGATTTCTCACATCCCTCTCAGTCTCTGTCTGGTCAAATTAAAAAACTAATAATAATAGATATTGGGTAGTTGGGAAGTCATGATGCATTTTTACATAGAAAAACATAGAAAATACATCATGACTTTCCCAACGACCTAATAAAATTATATAAAATAATTTTTTCTTGAGAGGTTTTTGCTATAGGGCGCATGTGCTCGCCAGAAAGACAAAGACAGACAGAGAGATAGAAAGCAAGAAATCGCCCCCCAGGGGGGATGGCCATGCCTCAATCCCTTCTCCTCCATTCTCCTCTCAGGATCTTGGGCACGCACGCACACGTGCCCGGCATGAGTTTAAGCCACTGGGTCGGGGACTCAAACTGCTGTCGGCTACATAAAAGTTCAGAGACATAGCCATTACGCTAACTGCTGATCCCAAATAAAATAATTTTTAAAAAATAAAAGAATTGGGAATGGGGGGGGAACAGCAGGTGGCATGATGGTTAAGGGCTGGACTCCCACATGGTCAACTGAGGTTTGAGTCCTGGACCTGATGGCTTAAAACTCATGCCGGGTGTGTGAGTGTGCATGCCTAAAATCCTGAGAGGAGAATAGAGGAGTAGGGATTGTGACATGGCCATTCCCCCTGAGGGGTGATTTCTTGCTTTCTATCTCTCTATCTGTCTGATGAGCCCATGTGCCCTAAAGCAAAAATCTCTCTAAAATAAAAAATTAAAAAAAAAAAAGTCTGGAAACTTAAGAGATTTGGTTTAAGGCAAAATCCAGCTAGATCCTGCTTATAACAAATGTTTCCTCCCAGCCCAGAACTCCAGTTACCTGGTGCTTCTCCAGAGGCAAGACTCATGGTAGTTTCCAAGATTCTTTTAGGGCCCATACATGCACATGTGTGTGTCTGTGTGTCTGTGTGTAAATACATGTTTATGTACATGTACATGTCAAAGAGTTCATGGAAAATGGGGGGCCAGACTGAGGTGTAGTGGTAAGACACAAAAGCGTGTGAGGCTGACCCACATGAGAGGGTACGGTTCGTATCTAGTGACCTTCCTGAGTACATTAAGGATACACACGCCATGATCCTGGGCTGTCTGAGGGGGTAGACAAGATTCTCCCTCTCTCTGTCTCTGGCAAGCACACACGCTTTCTGGCAAGTTAAAAAAAAAGCATCTTGTTTTCTATGTAGCTTTACTGTAAGTTGCCTCAGCACCTTTTTAGAATCAGTTTTGTTAATTTAAAGCATTAAATAAAATTGTATAATTCTGAACTCAAATGTATTTTATCTTTAGAGACAAATACTCCAATAATTCTCAATCATGAAATTAAATTAAAAAGAGAACTTCTCCCTCCCTTCCCAAACAAGTTAGAGTTTAAAAAGTGCTGTAACTGTTACACATCATTCAGTAACTACTCAGGAAGAATCAGACTTTTTTCCCACTGGCTTATGATATATGCCTAGCCAAGATAAATCTAGAAATCATTACTCTTTAATTTGTAAAGTATTATCACCCTTCTTTTGATTTATAAAATAAGTATAAGAATATTTACATTTATACATGTGCCTACAAAAAAGAATGCTAATTTTTTTTAAAAAAACCAATGCAGAAGTCGACATGCAGTTTAAACGAAAATGGAAAAAAGTCATCACAATGATAAATCATTAGACTTACGTTTTTCCTTTCCATTCCACGATCTTTGTGAAGTTAAGGTAATTGTCCTCTCCAGTTAGGAAGACGTAGTCTCCATCGTTAGTCCCATTTTTCTGAAAATAAGTGAATATGATCATTTAAAGTAACTGACGGTTAATTCTGTGTCAGCTTGGGAGGCTATGGTGCCCTGCTGTTGGTAGCATGCTACCCTGCATTTGCCGTAAAGGTATTTTGTAGGTGTGACTGACGTCTACAAGCAGTTAACTGGATGTAAAGATTACACTCAACCTGAGTGGGTGGGCCTTAGCCAATCAGTTCAAAGCCTTTAAAAAAAAAAAAAAAGATGTCCTAGGGAAGAAGGAATTCTCAAGACTACAACAGAGAAATTCTACCTGTTTTCAGCCCCACAGAGTTCAGACTTGTGATTCCCCACGATCACACATGCCAGTTCCTGAATTTCTGCCTGTCTCTCTCTATATGTCCATATCCCATTGATTCCGTTTCTCTGGAGAGCACTTACTGATAGTCACTGACAAATTTCATCTCCAATTTCTACATAAAAATAATCAAGTTATACTTCTTAAGGACACACATGGACACTGCATTCCTACACATGCTTTATTGGGGATGGAGCTATGACTTCTGGGAAACTGCATAGGTACTAATTCTTCTATAATGACACAGTAATAGGAGTGAACCATTATTGAGTATACTATTCCTGGCGCTGGTTTAAAATGTTTCCATAAGGGACCAGCGGGTGGCGTAGTAGTTAAGGTGCTGGGCTCCCACATGGTTGACCATGGTTTGAGTCCCAGACACAGCAGCTTGAAACATACAGGGTGCATGTGTGTGTGTGCGCCCAAAATTCCAGGAGAATGGAGAAGGGACTACAGCATGGCCAAATCCCCTGGGGGATGATTTCTCACTTTCTTTCTCTCTGTCTCTCCAATGAGCTCACACATCCTACAGCAAAAATCTCTCTTTGTAGGGAGCAGCCCAAATCTGAGCAAACATGGTAACCTTTAGACACTTGCAGAAATGTGATTTCATGGGCAGTCATATGCAGGGCAATGAATGCCGTTAACATGTGAATATGCTAGCTACCTCTGTGTTCCAAAACTGCAGAAAGGTATTGGGTTAAAGGAAGCCACATGCGTTAATCAGAATTGGCCCAAGAAGATTAGAGAAAATTACATAGAGCTGCATGGCATCAGGTGTCTTTGCATCTTTAGCCATTTAACATCTAAAAAAAACAGCTTTGTGTTCCACTTCCCCTTTCCTCCATTTTCTACCCTTTAAAAGAATAAACCTGGGAATGGTTTGGGGCCACGGATGCCTCCATCAGAGGAGTTGGGACCACCCAATCCCTCTTTTCTTTGCTTGTTTGTCTCTGTCTGTTTATTTCTATGTTTATTTTCTAATACACAGCAGCCCCCCCTCAGGCATGCATTCATTTAGCTGTGTGGGACATGGCATCCCTCTTAAAAAAAAAAATTCTGCATGAATTATCTCATGGAATCCTCACTACAAACACAGAAGATAGTGTGGGTTTTAGTCTGATTAAGTCAATGATGTAAAAACAAAAAAGCAAGTTATCCAAAGAAAACTGTCCAAGAAATACTGAGGAATTAGGCACAGGATCTACTTAGTAGGTGGACAGATGCCGCTGGGACCAAAAGACCTTGAGGGAAACTTTGCATCTTTCTCTATCAGGCTCTCCTAAAATTATTTCTAGAAGGGAGGTCTAATCATACCTTAACCAGAAATCTGGCCCTGATCCTGGCCCTGGCCCTGTGTTAGCTGTGCTCCTGTGAACATCTTCTAGGGAACACCTATCTAGCCTGCTCCCCAGACTGAAAAATTTAGAGCTGTGAAACCTTACTTTGAGGCCTCATAGCTACTGCATATATAATGTTTAAAAACTTGCTATGGCTGGGACCAGCAGATGGAGTAATGGTTGCATCACTGGGCTCCCATGTAGTTGACTGAGGTCAAGTCCCAGACCTGGTGGCGTGAAACTCACTCCAGGCACGTGTGTGTGCATGGCCAAAATTCTGAGAGAAGAATGGAGGAAAGGGGGATTGCGGTGTGGCCATGCCCTCAAGGGATGATTTCCTGCTTTCTGTCTCTCTGTCTCTCTCTCTGGCAGTGCATACAACCTATAACAAAAATCTCTCTTAAAAAACAAACAAACAAACAAAAAACCTTGCTTATGGATCTACCTCATAGCCTAGTAGTTAGGGGAGCCACATCCCACATGGCTAACCATGTGGCTCAAATCTCAGACCAGTAGCTTGAAAAACGCACCAGGCACATGTGTGTGCATGCCTAAAATCTCTGCTGGATGGAAAAAGTGGAGAAGAGATTTTGGCATGACCATGTACCACTTGGGGGTGCTTTCTCCCACTCACTCGCTCTCTTTGTCTGAGTCTCTCTGGTGAGCACATGTGCCCTCTGGCAAATTAAAAACAAAACAAACAATAAAACGATTTTGCTTGGACAACTTCCAAGCTCTGCATACCGCATAAGGTGTAGGGGCAGATTTACACCCATTTGCCCTGGAGGAATCCAAATGCTAAGGGATTACATGATGACAGTAGGATTCCTGTCAGGCAGAGCCAGAAAGCAACTACAGATTTAAAGATGAGTAAACTCATTACAAGTACAGTTTACCCCTAGTCTAACGTTTTCTTTCTCAAGATTAATTTTATCTTTTACCAATTTCCCAACTATGTCACTCGAGAAGTTTTTTTTCTTGCAATAAAATAAAAAACAAAAAGAACACTTTCTCTTCTCCTACTCTGTAAGACACCTAAAATGCCAGGCAATTTTGGTCTTCTCCCAAAAAAAATCAAAACTCAAAGTTAACATGAAATTTGGCTTAGAGCCAGCAGATGGCATAGTGGTTGTGGCACTAGACTCCCACATGGCTGATTATAGTTTGAATCCCAGACATGGTGACTGGAAAAATCACACCAGGCACTTGTGCATGTGTGCCCAGAATCCTAGGTGGACTATGAAGGAGGAGGACTGCAGCATGGCCATCCCCCATGGAGGAGTGATTTCCAACTTTCCCTCTCACTGTCTTTCTCTATCTCCTCTCCGATGGGTACACACACCCTGTGGCAAAAACCTTAAAAAAAAAAAAAAAGATGAAATTGGCTTGTGGTGCTACCTTCCCCACTGTCAACTGAATAAAAATGCTGTGAAAAGAAATCTCAACTTACCCCATAGAACAGGCCAAAAAAGGGAGTGATCTCAGGTCTGAAAACATGAATGAGGGACAAAATGACGTCTTTGTAGCCCCAGAGCAATTCGTCCACTGTGTGAGTCACAAAGAGTGTCTGCTGATAAGCCTTCAGCATGGCCTCGACGATCTCCTGGAAGAAGTGGACCTTGGACAGTTCGATGACAGTCTGCGGAGCAAAGGCAAATTAGGGTGGTCCTTCTCTCACCCCTCAGGAAAGGGAACTGGGCGCGTACAGGTAAATGTTGAGATGAAACAGCTGAAAAGCAGCCAGTGAGGTCCTCTCTGGATGCATGTAGAAGAATATGACTCCTCAGTTACCAATTGTGTAAGTATGAGCTTATGTGCAGGCTCAGAGTTATCCAGACACAGGAGGAGAAAAGCTCTTACAAAGACATCAGCACCTTTGGCCATTAGGTGGCGCCACCTGCCTTTGAGTGGCCGGAGACCAGGCCCTCAACATAAACCGTCCCCTACTAGACACAAAGGCAGTGCCAGATCTGGGACCTAATCCTCTCTAGGTTCTGGTCCACGCTGGGTGCTCAGCTGCACGTGGAGCGTTCACCTAGCAGTTAGGGTGGGAGCCTCCGAAGGGGTTGGTGCAGGTGCCTAAGTGAGTTTCCTGGGTCTCTGCACAGGCATCATCCTAGGTGGTTTAGCCATTATAAACAGAGCCCGGAGAACTTTCAGTAGGCTGTAATCGGCAGCCCAGTCTCTCCTTGAAAAGGGGAAGGCAAAGTCAATTCTATATTTTGAGAATTTAAAATCCAAGATAGAAATCTGAACTAATCGTATGCAAATTCCACTGCAAGAATTTCTGAACAAAAAGAAAAAAAAAAGTGGACAAATAAATATTATAAAAAATGACTAGCTATGAAAAGTTCTACGGGCATTTTTATTTATACAAGTGCTAATCCTGAACACACAGGAAGAAACTGTGAAAACAATTCCTAAAATTTGTATTTTTGTTACCATTTGACAAGATGTTGTTTGATAGACCACAGGGAAAAGTGAACTTTAAAGAAGGGAAGGAGAAAATATATTTTTGTTTTTATATATATATATATATTTTAAGATAATAGCTCCTGAAAGTAAAACCATAATAGCCTTAACTTAGCTTTCTTCTCTCTTCTAAAATCCACAGTAATAATAATATTCAAATGCCTACTTACCAATACAGGAATATTTAAAGTTCTAATTAAGTCAACTTGAGGGTCGCCGACAGATTTCTCTCGTTCAAAGACGTAGGCCTTGTTGCTAACAGCAGATATCGTTGTTCCGTTATCTCCAAACTGCACATTGCCTTTGTTCCTGAGTTCTCTAAAAGAAAGAAAAGGAATTTACTTGAAAATACGCACCACTTTAATAAGGAAGACTTTTTTTTCTTTCAACACCAAGGTTACATTTTCTTTCCTTTTTCCTAGATTTTCTGCCATAGAGCACAAGCTCAAGGGAAAGAAACAGAGGCAGAGAGAAAGTGAGAAATCACTCCCAGAGTGGACAGCCATGGGCTGTGGTGTAATCCTTTCTCCTCCATTCTCTTCTTGGGAGTTTGGACACCCATGTGTGTATGTGCGCACGTGCGCATGCATACACACGCATACACACACACGCGCGCGCACACACGTGGCATGTTTTTCAGGCCACCAGGGACTCAAACTGCGGAGTCAGCTATGTGAGATCCAGTGCCTTAACCTCCATGCCACTTGCTGGCCTCAAGATAGATAGCTTAAGCTATTATTTTTTAAATCAAAATTAATGCCCCAAATTCATAAGCAAAATATGAAAACTTTCAATAAAAACAGGTTCTACTCTTTCGCTCATCAAATGCTTCCCACTAGTCCTGGCTCTGCCTGGTACGCAGAAGTTGATACATTCCAGTGCCTGTTCCTCCTCTCCCCTGCTCACTTTCACTTCTTCCTACACCATCTAGGAGGTGCCTAATAAATAGCTGTAGGATGAAGCCAATCAATGCCTCTCTCTTTCAGTTCATTTTTCATTGCTACAACTGAAGACCACAGAAAAGGTCATTTATGAAGAACGAAGGCGTATTCAGCTCATGATTCTGGAAGTCCAGAGTTGAGGGACTGCATGGTGTACAGGTATTCTTGCTGGCGGGGACTTCCTGCAGAGTCCCAAGGTGGCACGAGGTGTCACATGCTGAGAGGGTGAGAGTGTGTGTCAACTCTGGTCTTTCTTCCTCTTTGCTGGCCCCTGACACCCTCTTCTCATAAAACCACCAGTGTTCAGGCATGGGATCATGAGGGCTCTATCCTGATGACCCTACCTAATCCTGACCACCTCCCAAAAGCCAGCCTCTTTTTTTGTTTCTTCCTAGAGACTTTTGCTATAGGGTGTATACGCTCGTCAGAGACACAGAGAGACAGAGAGAGAGAAAGTGAGAAATCACCCCTCAGGGAAATGGCCACATCGCGATCCCTTCCCCATTTTCCTCTTAGGGTTTTGGGCATGCACGCACACACGCGCAGTGTGAGTTTTGAACCACTGGATCCAGGACTTAAATCAGAGAAGAAAAATGACATGCTCTTCTAGTTCACAAGGAATACATAAAGAAAAGTCTAACAGAGGCTGTCGCGTTCAAACGCTTACACAGTTACAAGGTACGTGCAGTAGACCTTTGGTTGTTACATCATCTTTTCCTTTTTCTCTGCTCACGGTTCCAATTTCCTTTCCTCTCCTGCAGCATGCAGCTGTGCGGGACTATCAGTTGAGGTTTCCGTTGGACCTGAGTTCAACCAGTTCCTTTCCCCCGGCCTCCAAATCATGACACAGTGCTTCAAGATGGAAAACAGCAGAAACTGGATTCCTTCTGGTGATGCACGTGGGATGTGAGGTCGACAGGCTCCTTGATCTTTAAAGCTGCCCTGGATCCTGCCCTTTCAAGCTGCTTCCTTAGAGTCCGTTAACCTATTTTATGGCCTTCAAACAGTCTTTTGTTGTTGTCAGAGGGCGTGTGTGCTTGCCAGATGAAAAGAGAAAGAAATAGGGCGTGGTCACACAGCAATCCCTTCTCTTCCAGTCTCCCTCCTGTCAGGATTTTGAGCACACACACACATGCACCTGGCATGGATTTCAAGCTATGAGGGTCAGGATTCAAAATTCTTTACTACTGGGCCATAAGGTCAGCCCCCAGTAGATTCTCTTTTTACTTAAATTAGCTAGAGTTAGTTTTGCTTGCTTGCAACCAAAGATCTCATCTTGAAGTCAGAACCCGGGGTTTTTACAGAAAGATGGAGACTTGGAACCAACCTGGAAATGCCAGACCCAGGTCTGAACTCTTGGTCACCTGCGCTCCCGCCCAGGATTTTCCTCAACTCTACACAGAAGTTCATTCAAAGCAACTTGTTGAAGATGGAGAAACAGAAGAAATCTCAGGGCCAAGCCCCTGCCTGGGTCAAGGCTGATGCTGGCAGAGAGAAGCACATCTGTCCCCATTCACTTTCTGTCCCCAAAGGCCCCCTAGCCAGGGCCAGGAGGAAAGCCCTCTGGAGGTGTAGCTGTTTATAACCCATGCTTGCATCCCACGCTCACCACTAGGGAAGTAGAGGTAGAAAAGGGGACCCCAGGACGAACCCCAGACTGCACTCAAAGAAAGTCAGGCCAGAGATCAAGAGCTGAGATTCAAAATAGGTCCAGAGTCCCAGGGCTGAACTTTCCCAACTTTTCTGATAATGTCAAAAACCAACGACCTAGCTAAGGCTTTTGTTTGTTGTCTTTACTCAAGCCCCACGTCATGAACCAAGAGGCCTGAATAATCCCAAGCAGTGCCTGCTTCCTCTATTTTAGAGTCCCAACTGCAGTAACTTCATGTCTCCTTTGCTGCTTACCATGTATGCATCCGAATACTAAATCACAAATACTAAAATCACTCTAAGCCTTGTAACTTCATTCGGCTTGTCAATAAATTTCACCAAGTCAAAGCCAAGATTTCCCAAACCACAGAAAATGTCATTCCCTTGGCAGGCTGACATCTGGTCACTCACAGGACAGCTGACCACATGACTTCCCAGTACCACGGGGTTGGCCACCAGCCACCCTGGGTATGACCTGACATACGGCCTTTACAGAATGGCTCTGCATGAAGGAGGACAGTGCCAGTGGGGCTGCGAGAGGTGGCTTCCCCCGCTACAGAGTCCAAGAGGAAGCTGGATCTTCCTCAAAACAAGGTATGGCAGTCAGAAGAAACCAAAATGTTGCTATCTCAAGCACTCTTATTTCTTTGGCAACCCTACATCAGCTGCTGCATGTGGAGAAAGGGTTTCGGTAACAATACGAACAAGGGCGGTGACTTCAATCTCCCCAACAGTGGAATGGCTGACTAGAAGCAGGAGCTCGCTGGTGAGCGAGGAGTGATGGACCACTGCCCTACAGTATTGGAGAAGACCAAAGAAATGTCCAATATACAAATAAGAGGTTTTAAAAAAAAATGCTAGATCTAGATAATTTATCAAGGAGTCACACTTACAAGTGCCTGGTGGGCCATTCCTATAGCCTACTGGTTAAAAGAACTGGATTCCACCTGGCCAACCTCAGTTTGAGTTCCAGTCGCAGAAGCTTGAAAATGCTAGACACACGTGCATGTTTACCCAAAGTCCTGACAGGACAGAGATTTGGAGAAGGGATTGTGGTGTGTCCATGCTCCACTGGGCTCTTTCTCCCTCTCTGTCTCTCTCTGGCCAGCACAGGTGTCCTTGGCAATTGAAAAAAAAAAAGTGCCTAGTATGATCTTTGGTATTTACTAGATGCTAATAAAACTCAGATTACAGTTTAACATTTGGTAATCACAGTGATGGTCCTGGTATTTAAGAAAAGGATGATGGGAATAGCAAACAGCATAGTGGCTACTTCACTGGACTCCCACGTAGTCAACTGTGGATCGAGTCCCAGACTCAGCACCTTAAAACTCATGCTAGGTATGTGTGCATGCATGCCCAAAATCCTAAGAGGAGAATGGAGGAGAAGGGATTACAGCATGGCCATCCTCCCTGGGTGGCGATTTCTCACTTTCTGTCTCTCTCTGCCTCACTGGTGAGCACACGTGTTCTATAGCAAAAATCTTTACTTTTAAAAATGATAATAATAAATAAGCCTCCAGAAGCTTCTGAAAGCCATGGAATACTAGAAATTAGATACAATTATTAGATGACTATATGGTCATGCAAAAGGATCAGGAGGCAAACAGGCATGTTAACAGACCTGTCCCAGGGCTGCCAGGCCACAGCTTTATAAAAGTGTAAACAATGCACTTCATTCCCTAAACCAGGCTGACTGGTTTTTATCAACATGTGCAGCTGCCACCATCTTTTTCCAAAAACAATATTCTGAGCTCACCAGAATTTGGAAGTTTGGGGACATGTGCTCTTGTAAATTGTGTGACCGATGAGTTCAGTCCTCCACAGCCTTACTTGGCTTTTTCCCCTTCCGGAGAGTTCTCACCCCTCAGAGCACCACAGAAAATGGCTCCCTGCCCCTCTCTGCCTCTGTTCCAGCCCCTCAGCATAGAAGCAACAGAGCTGACTCAGTTAGGAGGAATCCCATGAACCACCACACACTGGAGCAGGAGCTACTGGAATGTTCTGTCTTGCGCAGCTAAACAATAACATGACCAAGTCACGGGGTGACAGAAATCAGATCCACTGAATGACTCACAGGCCCCACAGAGGAACAGACCTCTCCCTGAAAAGCCGTGCTTGCCCACACACCCCAGCACTCACAGCCCACTCAGCCCACTGACGCTCTCAGCACTCTGCTCCACACATTGCCAGCCCAGCCACTCCTTTTCAGGACCTCCTGCCCACTCTTGAGCCCATCCTCAGCTTTCCAGGATTACGGTTTTAAGCCATTTCTCCACTTGCATCCTATGTATTTTTTTTTTTTTGGAGATGTTTTTGCTATAGGGCGCTTGCGCTCGCCAGACAGACAGAGAGACATAGAGACAGAAAGCGAGAAATCACCCCCCAGAGGGGATGGTCACGCCGTAATTCCTTCTCCTCCATTCTCCTCTCGGGATCTTGGGCATGCACGCACACGTGCCTGCGTTCCAGACCTGGTGGCTTGCTTTCTCACTTTCTCTCTCTCTCGTCAAATTAAAATAAATGAATGGATAAATAAAATTAAATAAATAATTCTTTAAAGAGAGAGGTGGCATGAGAGTTCCTTCCTATTAAGGAAATAGCACACAATCTGGCATGGTAGTATTTGGGGAGCTTGAAAATAACTGGAGTATGGTTAGAACCATGCCATTCCACATGGCCGCATGTGACCACCACACACCCAAGACCTGGCTGGTCTGAAATGAATGTGCTATCCATGTAAAAAGCATGGGGTTTCAGAGACTGAGTATAAAAAGGAAAAGAATGTAAAGTATCTCAATATAATTTTGAATATTGATAACACGTTGAAATGATAACATTTTGGATATGATTGGGTTAAACATAATATTCAAATTCTTTTTCTTTATTTATGATAGCACATAGGCACACACATGAGAGACGAGCACCCTCTACAGGGTCTGGTCACACCCCATCCCCTTCCTCTAGCCCATCAGATCTTGGGCATGTGCATGTGAGCTAGATGTGTCAGGCTGACTGCGCCGGGGATTTGAACCATAGGAGCCAGCTCCTCCCGAGCAGTGCATTACTGTTATGCCATGGACCTGGTCCTCAATATTATTTTACCTGTTTCTTTTCATTTCTTTTCTTTTCTTTTCTTTTCTTTTTATTTATTTATTTATTTTTTTTTTTTTAGGTAGGGTTTCACTCTGTCCTGATCCTTCTGCCTCAGCCTTCCGAGTAGACAGGACTACAGACACAGCTTTTGGGGTGGGCCAAGAATCGGATGCTGCCCCCAAGTGGCCTCTGCCTGCTAAGCAGTGGTGCCCAACACGTGCTCCCACAGCTGGCCTCTCCTTACCTTTTCAATGTGGCTATCAGAATTTTTTAATTTAGTTTTTAGTTTGCTATAGGACGTGTGCGTTCGCCAGAGAGAGAAATCACCTTCCAGGGGAAATGGCCATGCCCCAGTTGCTCCTACATTCTCCTCTCTGGATTTGCACGGTACATGTAATGTGAGTTTGCAGTTTCTTCAAACACAAAACACATAAAAAAATGCTTTTAAAAATGAGGACCCAAGTGTTTTCTTAAAATCCCGCTCTATACGGGTGATGTGGTGATGAAGGTACTGAATTCCCACATGAACAACGGTGGTTCAAGTCCCAGATCCAGCAGCTTGAAAATCAAACTGGGTGTATGTATGTGCCCAAAATCCTCAGAGGAGAATGGAGAAGAAGGACGGTGGCATGGCGATCCACCCTGGGGGGTGATTTTTTACTCCTCTTCTCTCCCTGTCTCTCTCTGACAATCACAAGTACCCTATGACAAAAGCCCAAAAATAATTAAAAAAAAAATTCCTTCACAAAACAACAGGATTCATCTTTATAAATCTGGATGTTACTTTCTGTGGACTAGAATAATTAATTCGAATCCTTAATTATTATTTATTACTTAACTATATTATATATTGCTTATTATATTATTAATCCTAACAACTATTACATTATCCTAATAACTATAATCGTATTATATTTATTGCTATTATTAATCCTAATCATCCTAATTAAAACTAATAATGACAGCAAACAATATCACTCATGCGTTAGGCATGGGTGTAAGCATTTTATAAATACCGACTCATTGGATCCTCACTCAACTCTATGGTGAAGGTCCTGCCTTTAACCACACTTTATAGATGAGGAAACTGAGGCACAGAGGGCGTGGAAAGTGGCCGGGTAGGGCTCAAAACAGGGTCTCGGACTCGAGCCAGGGCACAAGCAGCCAGGGCAGTGCCCAGGACTTTCACCTCTGAATCCCCAGCACCCAAACTAGGTCTGATGAGTAACCAATGAGCCCATCAGCAATCGCTTATTGAGCAATCGATTACAACAGAATTGTGAGGCGTTTTTACCATGTAGCCACTTTGACAGAGAAAGGGATTGCTGTCTGCTTCTTTTACCAATCTTTTTTTTTTTTTTAGCTTGGTAAAAAAGATTTCATTAGAGGAGGAGGAGGGAGGAGGGAGGAGCTACTGAAATAAGAAATATGCCAATAGGCAGAATGCTCAGACCCAAGCATCTCTCTTTTCTAATCATTTAAAAAATGACTAAAGCAGGAACTGGCCCTGTAGCCTAACGGTTAAAGGAGCTGGATTTCACATGTCAGATCAAAGTTCGAATCCTGGCCCCACAGGCTTGAAAAACATGCTGGGTGTGTGTGTGCCCCAAATCCTGACAGGATGGAAAAATGGGGAAGGGACTGACCAAGTCCCATTGAGAGGAAGGGGTGCTTTTGCTTTCTCTCTCTCTCTTTTAATTTTTTTCTATTTTAAAGAATTATTTATCTATTTAATTCCATTTATTATTATTATTTTTTAATCTGACCAGAGACAGAGAGAGAGAGAAAAGTTAAGTAAGAAAGCAAGCCACTAGGTCCAGGACTCGAACCGCAGTTGGCCATATGGGAATCCAGTACCTTTAACCACCACACTACCTGCCAGCTCCCTCCCCCCTTTAGCAAGTGTGCACACTCTGGCCATTAAAATAATTCTTTTTAGAAAACGATGAAAGCCATTTGAACTCCCCAGTGTTTGGAACTGGTGATCACAAAGACTCTAACCCACCCTGCTACTTGGTTATCTCTCATACTCAGGATGGGTGGGGAAACGGGGTAGACAGAAACAATAAGACCAGACCAACGGCAAATCTGGAAACTGGCTTAAAACTCGGTATGTGGGGAAGGGAAACTGGGGAGGGCTAAAAGTCACTAAAGAAATTCAAGAATACCCTTTTCAGGAATGGGCAGTGATTCTTCATGGCCTCATGGCCACACTCTGCCAACGCAGGAGCGGTAAATGCACTTTGGGGGAGGCCATTGGTGTGGACGGAGCTCTTGCACTAGGCCGAACAGATGGGCCCCAAACACAGAGACTCAGGTTGAAGCTCCACCACCGAGCTATAACTAAACTGTTCATCTCACCTTGCGGAAATCAGGAGAGAGGGAGAAAGAGAAAGAGGTAATAGCCTACGAGAGCTGGCACGATAAGGAAGACCCCCTGCTGTAGAATGGAAATACAAGCCAATCATGATCTTGGGGCCAGCAGGTGGTGTGGAGGTTGAGGTGCTAGACATTCCCACATGGCCAACCACAGTTCAAGTCTCGGACATGGTGGCTTGATTTCTCACTTTGCTCCCCTCTCTCTCTCAATCTCTCTCTCTTTCTCTCTCTGTGTGTCTCTCTCTGGTCAAATTAAAACAACTGAATGAATAAATAAAATTAAACAAAATAATTTTTTTTTTTTTTAAATAAAGGAAAGAGAAAGCTGAAAGTCCTTTTTGGGATCAGCAGTTGGTGTAATGGCTGTGTCGCTGGGCTCCCATGTAGTCGACCATGGTTTGAGTCCTGGACCCGGTGGCTTGAACTCACGCAAGGTGCATGTGTGTACGTGCCCAAGATCCCAAGAGGAGAATGGAGAAGGGATTGCGGTGTGGCCATTCCCCCTGGAGAGGTGATTTCTCACTTTCTGTCTCTCTGTGTCTGTGTTTCTGGTGAACACAGGTGCCCTATAGCAAAAACCTCTCAAAAAAAAAAAAAATCTTAACTATATATGTTGTAACCTTGTCTTTTGACAGGTGAGAGCAGCTACAGTTCTAATCATAGCACACAGAGACTCAGCCCACTCCATGCAGCCATCCTCTGTCGAGGTCTCACATGCCAGAGCAAACCATCAGCAGCATTTGTGTTCAGACAGAGCAGAACACAAACCTGTGCCCCACAGCTCTGGGAGCAGTGTCATGGGAAGGGGCTCAGCCCAGGTCATCCCACCCTGAGGCATGGCAGGAAGGCGGTCAGGACTCACCTGTAGGTGTATGGCCCCACTTCTTCTAGCCGAGGGATCTCCCCTCTGAGGATCTCCTCTGGGTTGGTGACATTGAAGAAGTAGAACTGGGTGTACACGGGCAGAGGGGGCTTTTCCCAGGAGTCAAAGACCTCGGAGCCATTCCTTAACACAACATTCTGGGGAAGAAAACCAGAGATTTACCACAGTGGAAGCCAGTTTGTTTTGAACATAAGAGGCAGAAAGAGGAACACCCTGCTCTGACCTCCTAGTTCCTCAGTCTTAGTTATCCCACAGACGCCACCTGCAGTGCCTAGAGCACAGGGCGGAGCACACCAGGGCGGAGCACACCCCCTCCCCCAGACGGGGCCCACAGGCCTATTACCAATATTTGAAAAGGAAGATGCTACCCAGGGCAGAACCGTGGTGTTACCAAAACCAAGGCCACAGATAGAATTTCCACAGGCCCACTGGCTCTGGTTTTTGTTTTGCTTTGTTTTCTTTTGTTTCAGATTTTTGCCATAGGGCACATGCTTGCCAGAGAGAAATGAGACAGAGAGAGGGAAAGTGAGAATCAACTTCCCAGGAGGGATGGCCACACTGTAATCCTTTCTCCTCTCAAGATGTTAGGCATGCATGCACATGTGCCCAGTGTGATTTTTTTTTTTTTTTAGAGGTTTTTGCTATAGGGTTCATGCACTCGCCAGACAGACAGACAGAGACACAAAGCAAAAAATCACTTCCCAGGGGGACAGACACGCTGCAATCCCTTCTCCTCCATTCTCCTCTTGGGATCTTGGACACACACACATGTACCTGGCGTGAGTTTAAGCCACCAGGTCTGGGACTCAAACCGCAGTCAACTACATGGGAGTCCAGCAACATAGCCATTATGCCAACTGCTGATCCAGATTTTCTTTTTCTTTCTTTCTTTCTTTTTTTTAAAATTATTTATTCCTTTATCTAATTCCATTTGTTATCATTATTTTTTAATTTGTCCAGAAAGAGAGAGAGAGAGAAAATGGGAAAGTGAGAGAGCAAGCTGCCAGATCCGGGACTTGAACCACGGTCAGCCATGAGGGAGCCCAACACCCTTAACAGCCATGCCACTGCCAGCCCCATGCCCAGTGTGATTTTCAAGCCACTGGATCTGGGGCTCGAACCACGGTTGACCATGTAGGAACCAGCACCCTGACCATCATGCTACTATCCACTAGCCCCTTGGTTCTGTTACTTTGAAAGATTCCACTAATGGGATCGCTGCTGGAGAAGTGAGGCTCTCCCAAACAGCACCACATGCTCCCAGTCTGCACAGGTGAGAGGCGGAGAAGGGGACAGGCTCGAGAAGGCCGGTTTTGGTCTATGTGGTCTATGTAAAGTAGACCAGAGCTATTCCTATTACTCCACCCCCAGAGGCTTCCATGCATTTTCTTATGAAGTCCCCAACAAACCCCAGAACAGAGCCGCCTATTTCTGTTTCAAAGCTGAGCCTCACATAGGTTAGGTGACCATGGAGATCCACAATCCTCCTCCCTTCCCACCTTGGCTATGTGGTATGTGTGTCCCCACTTCAAACTCCCATGCTGAGGCCCTGACACCCTCACCTCAGAATGCTACTATATCTAGAAACAGGGTCTTTAAGAGTTAAATGAGGTCTTAGGGGTGGACCCTAATCCAGTGTGACTGGTGTCTCTTTAAGAAGATGAAACTGAGACACAGAAATGCATAGCAGAAAGACCATGGGCCGACACGGAAAAGGCACCATCGTGTCGATGAGAGACAAGAGAGGCCTCAGGAGAAATCAAGGACATCTTTATCTCAGATTCCTGGCACGAGAACTGTGAGGCCATCCATTTCTGTGGTTCAAGTCACCGTGCTATTCATTCTGGCAGCCCCAGCAAGCTCATACCCTAGGCCTGGCCTACAGGAGTAGTACTCGTCCCTACCCCACTGACTTCGAGTCTGGCAGAGAGACTGAGGGAGGCCTGGTAACACACCAATTCGGAGCAAAGGCGTTAAGGTGAACGGCCAGTTCCCATCCGCACCCTGGAGCTGCCACGCTCAGCTGAGAGAAGAGCACACCATGGGCAGGCGACGGTCCTCCAGCCTCGGTCCTGAAATGTGGACGCTAGACCTGAAGCCTAAATCCCAGCACCTGAGCTAACCCAGCTCAAACTGTCCAGCTGCACACCCACGAGTGTGAAAGAGACGGGACTCTGACTAGCCCGTGAGGCATGCAGTGTCCGCACGACTGTTGCAGCAGAAGCCTGACAAGTATGGTGTTAAGGTTAACAGACACCTGCCCAACACCCAGTACCTTCGGTTCCCCAGTAACAGCAAGCCTTGTGTTTTTACGGTAAACATTGCTGAAGTGCACAAGAAAGATAGACACACAGGCTGAAAATAAGCCAGAATGTAAACAGGGATTAATGTGGAGAGTTGGGAATTTAGATCACTGTTATAGTCTTCTTGATGAGATTTTGTATTTTCTAACTTTGTTATAATAAATTTAAAAATGAACATAGAGAACATTTATTTAAAAAAAAATGTAACAGAGGAAAATGGGATCTGATGATACAGTGTTAGGTCACTATCAGAACCACATTATGGCCCAGTTCTGTGATCTGGTGGTTAAGGTAGCTGGATCCCACATGGCTGACTGTGTGGTTCAAATCCTAGACCTGGCAGCTTAAGAAGCGTGCCAGGTGCATGTGCGTGCCCAAAATCCTGAGAGGAGAGAAAGAGGAGCAGAAGGGAATACAGTGTGACCATTCCCCATGGCGGGGCGAGGGGGTTCTCCTATCCCACAATCTCTGTCTCTGTTTCTCTCTGACAAACACATGCACCCTCAGCCCAAAACAAAGAGAACCATACTGCAAGCAAAGCAGCTGCTGGCATCGCCGTCACTCCTTGGACAGTGAGGCTTTCTGTAACAATAAACAGAGGAATCAGTTCCAGAACACGTAGGAAACCACACGCTGAAAAGTACTGTGACAGGGCCAGCTGGGGACTAGTAGTTAAGGGAGCCAGATCCCACATGGGCGTCTATGGTTCAAATCTCAGCCATGGTGGCTTAAAAAACATACTGGGCACATGTGTATATGTGTATGTACATCCCGAATCCTGGCAGGATGGAGGGATGGAGGAGAAAGGGTTGTGGTGTGACCATGCCCCATTTGAGGGTGGGGGAACGCTTCCTCCCTCACTCTCCTTTTCTCTTTATCTTTTTGGAAAGCACATGAGCCCTCTGTTAATTAAAAAAGTAAAAACTGACACTGGAGTAGGACTCAGAATTTCTAACATAAATCAGATTTTTAATAAATTCTGTTGTGCCTTTATAAAAAATATACTATGACCCAGCAAGTAACAGGATGTCAAATGTAGCATTTCTGGCCTCCAATTTAATAGAAACAATGTTGGGAGAGAACTTAATAACATAGCTGTACTACTAAATAGAAAGCATCCCAAGAATCTCTGCAGGGAACAAAAGTGTGGTTGTGGGACACAGGAAATGAATGTGGAAAACCATGCGAGCCACAGCAAAGCCAGTCGCCAGGGCACTGGGGCAGCTTCACGCACTCGCTGGACAGTCACAGAGCAGGACGGGTGGTTTGTGGGTTGGCGTGGATTCAGAGATTATTATCCAAATGGTACATTGCTGAAATACGCTTGGTGTGGGGCAAGCAGGTGGTATAGTGCTTAAGACACTGGTTCAAGTCCCAAACCCAGCGGCCTTGAAACTCCTGTCAGGCACATGTACATGCGTGCCCAAAATCCTGAGAGGAGAACGGAGGAGCACAGGTTGCAGAATGGCCATCCCCTCTGGGGGAGTGATTTTTTGCTTTCTGTCTCTATACGTATACCCTATAGCAAAAATCTCTCAAAAAGAAATAAAGGAAGAAAGGAAGGAAGAGAGGGAGGGAGGGAGTGAAGGAGGAAGGGAGGAAGACAGAGAGAGAGAAAGACTCTTGGTCTTTACTATCAGTTCTAACGAATTGGGACCTGATTTGACGAGATGGATAAATATGAAGACGAACCGTGAAATCCCTTTCCTCCAGCTTCCAGGCTCCAGGCTCCAGCTCCAGCTCCTTGGAGCGATCTCTTTCCCACGCCCGTGATCACTGTGCCCACACTGACAGGTTTCCTCAGCCATTACTTAAGAGCTGTGTTGTCTCTTCCCACTCAGGGTACAAAGAAACACCAGAACTAGAAAGGCCTCGGGGTGGACAAGACTTAGGCCGAGCCTGGGTGGTTAAAAGCCATCATCTCATGTTACAGCCGGGCCCAGAACTCAGCGTAGTTTTTCCTGACTCTCCTAACCGACCTCTTTCTACAATGTTTTAGTAAAACTGGTATAACATACTACATAGGTTTTCATGCTTTTTCTATAGGCCACATGTGCTTGCCAGAGAGAGACAAGAGGGGTGGATGGGAAAGTGAGAAATCACCTCCCAGGGGGGATGACCATGCCACAGTCTCTTCTCCTCCATTCTCCTTTCAGAACTGTGGGCATGCACGCACATAGGACTGGCGTGATTTTCAAGCCACAGGGTCCTGGACTCGAACTTTGAAGCTGGCCATGTGGGATCCAGCCGCCTTAACCACCAAGCAACCAGCTGGACTATAAAATAATTTTAGGTACATTTATTTTTCCATGAACAAGAGAGATGAAGAGACAGATACAGCCACCCCCTATGGAGTCTGGACGCTGCGATCCTTCTCCAGACCCAGTCAGTCCTGGATCACAGGCACACGCGTGCTTGGTGGACTCAAGGAGGGTCTCTGAACACGAACCTGGAACCTCTCCATGTGGGTTGGCCTCAGTGTCGCATTCGACCACTGCACCGTTGGCCACACTACACATTTCGGTTCTGTAAGTTCGAGCCGCACGCGGCAGACTCTCCATAAAGTGTCATGCTAAAAAGCTTACACACCAGCTCCCGCTGAGTGTGGGTGAAAAGAACTTGGTAAGAGGCGATCAGAGAAGAGCAGAGGAAAGGCATGATCTAACTAACGCCTTTGGCCCACTCGGGGATAACACGGGTGGGGACAGACAATGGGGGGAACCCCAGGCCAGAACACAATCTGCCATCAGTTGTGACACTGGCAACTGCCAAGGACTGCTTTTACTCTTATTGTTCTTTTGTTTGCTTTGTTTAGCTAAGAGGTCAAATCTCCA